CGCTGGGCTGATCGGAAGGCTGCGACTGCGCGCGCTTGCTTCCACTCCTCGTAGCATTGCTCCATGCCGTCCTCAGCCTCGCTGCCAGTCGAGTTTTGTCCGTCGAGAAAGGCCCTTTCCACGTTCTCGATCTCGTGGACTCGGATGGCGGAGGGGGACACGCTGAGTGCAAGGGCAGCCGGTAACGCATCCTTGCGGCCATCTTGGTGGCTTGTGACCTGAAGTGCTGACAGATTGGCGGGTGCATCACTCCTCCCTGGTAGTGTGCCTCCTTGGCTGCCGCCTAGCGCCCCTCGAGACGCGGCGGGCGGCCCTCGTGTCGGCCGTGGTGGTGTCACGTTGGCCCCCCGAGACCCAGGTGACTGATACCGCTGTTGTTGCTGGCTGCTGCGATTGGGAGTGGCCCTCCCACTGCCAATGCCAGTTGCGGTAGCACGTCTGCTTGGAGTCGTGGCCCCTCGGGACCCTGGACTCCTGGGAGTATCTGATCTGGTGTGTGAGACTGTCGCAATCTCTGCTGGTCTTTGTGTTACTAGACGGCTGTCGCATATAACCCCAGGGCCCGCCGTGCTTTCAGGCCTCTGGTGGTGGGTAGGTCGAGCATCGTAGTGGAGGACCCCACTGCCGTGCTGCGGGCTTTGGGCCCCAGCAACTCTCCCCAATGCTGCCCAGGAGATCGATGCTGTCGAATTGATCGGAGAGCGCGAAGAAAGCCCACATCCGTCGTGCTCTGCCCTGTTGGACTCATCGGCCGCCTCCTGGCAGTGAATTCTGTCATGCGTGACCTGAAGCCTGGCGGCGCTGCTAGGCCCCCTCCCCCCCTCGGGGGGGTCCAGCGGGCGCTGCTGCTGCCTGCTCCTCGGCTCCAGGAGTTGCAGGAGGGGAGGAGGTTGCTGTGCCCCTTGTCTCGTCCCTCCTGCGGGCCACTCGGCCACGAAAACGTGCTATGCCTGACTCTCCAGAGTCTACCCGCTGACCCTTGTGGGCCTGGCTGATGTCTTCTCCTGGAAATGCGGGCGCGGGTCCAAACGCCTCTTCAAGGGCTGCAGCTGCGGCGGCGGCTGAGGTGTGCTGGCGCGTTAGGATGTCGATGCCCTCGTACTGCCTCTCGACGCTGGCTGCTGCCGCCTCCGCGTTCTGCTGGGATGCAGGGGGAGGGGTCAATACGAAGCTGTCGGCTCCCTCTCTACCTCCATGGCCGCGCTGCTCATCATGCCCGAATGGAACTGTGGGCGTGAGTGACCTCTCGCTGAGTGGCGCTGGCGATGCTGGGATGAAGATCACCTGAGATGCTGTCGGAGTAGGAGGGTCGCCTTGCTCTGCTGGTACCGAGCTAGCCCTTGACGTGGATGCCAGGTCAGTGTCTGCCTCGTGCTGCGTGATTCCCCTCATCTCCTCACCCTCCTCGGGTGCGGGGTGATCCTGGCTCCAGGGCGGCCAGCTGGCGGGGTAGATCATCGGCGCATGCTCCGAGCCGTCGTCCTCCGCTTGGGAGTCCTGCGTGCCCACAGTGCCGAACTGGGTCAAGGGGGCCTCCTCGTGGTAGCGCCTTTGGATCTCCTCCGCCTCGTGGTCCCTCACTACGGACTCCAGCTCCTCCTCCATCTGTACGGCTTCCCATTGTGCTTTCTCCTCAGCATCTTGTCTGCGCAAATCATCTTGTTCGCGCTCGTATCTTTCTGCCTCCTCATGCGGGTCTGGCCTGTCGGGGCTCCTGGACCTGTCACGCTCTATGAGGGGTACATCGCCTTCGTCGGTCTGGCGGGCTGCTGATCTGGCTGACCTGGTTGATGCTGGCCTCCGAGGCGAGGAGCTGCTCTGCCTAAGGCCCCTGTTGGCTGGGCGCTCCTCGGCTGCACCAGATGGGAGGTTGGTCGCAACGGGGGGCTCCGCTGGGGCGGTCGCTGCCTCGGCTGCTCCTCTGGTTTTCTCGTACAGGTCGGCGGCCTCCTGGTAGTCGTCCATGGACTCTTGGGACGTTGGGAGGTGGCCCCCTTGGACGAGGTGATGAGCTGCCCTCTTGGTGAAGTCGTAGCCCTCCTGCCCGTATTGCCTCATCTCGGCGTACAGGCTGACCATGGCCTTGCGTTCACGTTCCCTGCTGGCTGCAATGGCTTCCAGGCTCTGCACTCTCAGCTTTAACTCCTCTGTCTCCGACGCGCCCTGCTGCCCCTTCTTTGCGATGGCGTCGAGCTCGGTGTGTAGCGTGCGGGAGCGCTGGAGGCTTTCTTGCAGCGCGAGATGAATGGCCTCCTCCCTGCCCGTCCTCTGCTGGCTGGCAAAGTCTTCCATGGCGGAGGCCTCCTCCATGCTGGCGATCCTGAGGGTGAGGGCTTGGGCGAGCTCCTCCTCCAGCGCCTGCTCCTGCACCTCTGCGTTGGACCTTTGCTCGCTCAGCTGCGCCGCGTAGCTGCTCAGTTCCTGTCGCAGGCTCTCTGTGTGCAGCTGCAAGTCATGTGCGTTCGCTTCTTCTATCATGACTTGGCGGGTGAGACTCGACCTTATTCGCTCAGCACTGCCTTCGAGCTCTGCCCGCATTGCTTCCTTGTCCTTCAGGCTGGCCTTCGCGATCTCCTCCTCCTCTGCCCTAGTCCTTAGCAGGGCGAACTGCAATGCCTGCACCTCGTGCGGGATCTGCCGCTCCTCGTTGGTGCTTCTCAGCTCCGCTGCTTCGTGGTATGCAACCTGTACTGCACGCTGCGCAGCGCCCGCCTCAAGCTTGGAGTACTGCTGGAGCTCGTGTATGCGGGCTTCAGCTGCCTCGAGCTCGCTTTTGGTCTGCTTGAGCCGATCCTGCTGCCGTGCTGCTGTCTGGACGATCCCTTGCAGCCTGGCCGCTTCTGCCGGCGGGAGGGCTCCTTTCCCCTTGGCATTGGCAACCACTTGGGCCTGGGCGATTGCCTGGGCCCTGGCTGATTCGGCGGCAGCTTCAAGCTCAAGGGCGTGGTTCTTTTTGGCCTCCTGGAGCTTCTCTTCCATGACCAGCTCCTGCCTGGTGAGCTGCTGCTTGAGAGTGCCAGCTGTAGCTGTCGCTTGGGCGCTCTCGTGCTGGGCCTGTCGCAATGCCTCTTGCGCCTCGGCTCTTGCCCGCAGCAGGTCTTGGTAGACCCTGTCCTGGGGCTGCGGCTGCGCTCGGTGCTCCGCTCGGGCATACTCAAGCTGCTCTTGCAGGTGATTTGCACGCTGGGTCGCCGCTTCGGCCTCAGCCTTGGCTTGACTGAAGGCTGCGTCATGGCTGATTATCCTGGCCTCCATCTGCGTCGCGAACTCGAGCTGCTCGGCTTGTTGCTTCTTGATCTCGTGGCGGAGAGCCTTGTGTTGCTGCTGCTGCTGCTGCTGGGCTGCGCTCTCCGCTGCGGTGATGCGCTGCAGCTGCTCTGGCTCCTCCTTGAGTGCCAGCCTGAGCTTCGCCTGCTCGGCGTTGTGTCGGAGTGCCTGCTCTCGGGCGACCCTCCTGACTTCCGCCAGCTCGGCAGCAAACTCCTGCTCGGCTTCGGCATGGCGCTGCTGCTGGTGGGCCCGCTCCGCATTCGCCTTAGCCACCTGATCGGCGAAGCCTCTGGTTGCGCTGCCTGCCGAGCTGGCTCTTGAGCGTGGTGAGCGCCCCACCACTCCCGCTGGCCAAGCTGGAAATCCGTCACCAGGTGCTTCGCTGTTCAGACGCCTATCGATCACGGCCTTGTGGAAAGTATCCCAGCTCGGCGCCAAGCCAAACCCGTCCGTGTCCCAGTCGCCCTCGTCGTCCGCCGCGCCGCCGTCGGCGAGCACGGCCCGCACGTCGGCGATGTTGGACTCGAGCTGCCTCAACTCCTGCTGCTTGGCCTTGAGGTCGTCCCGCAGCTCGTCCGTCTTGGCCTCGAGGGCGATGACTTCGAGTTTGACGGCCTTGCGCCTTTTGCTGAGCACCTGCAGCTGGTCATTCGGCCTCCTCGTGACCAGCTTCTGGTATTTGATGACCGAGATTTCCATCAACTGCTCCTTCGCGCTGTCGCCCGCGGCCTGCTTGGCGACGACCAGGTCGCCGAGCTTCCTCAGCCTCTGGTCAGCGCTGCTCAGAAACTTCTGGATGCCTGCGCGGTCGGCTGGGGGCGCCTGCCACTTTGGGTGGGAGGTGGCCTCGTCCAGCGTGCAGGCTGCCACAGAGTCAATGACTTTTTGAGCCCTCTGGTCCGCTTTGCTGGAGCTGGCCTGGCCGCCTTTGCCCGCCCTGGGCTGCTGCTGCAGCTGCTGCTGCTGCTGCTGCTGCTGCTGCTGCTGCTGCTGCTGCCATGGGGGCTGGCTGGGCTGCTGCTGCTGCTGCTGCGGCTGCCATTGGCGAGGGCTGGCCTGGCCAGAGCGCCGCGGCCGTGATAGCGGTCTGCGCCAGGGCGGGTCCTCGCCTGCTGGCTCCGCATGCCACTGCTGTTCTTGCCATCCAGCGCCCTGCCACCTCTCCTGGCGCCAAGGGGGCGCTGCTGGCGGCGCTGCTCCTTCCTGGGCGTGGCCCTTGCCGCCTCGGCCACCGCTGCCTCTGCCCTTCCCGTCTCGTGCCATCGCTGGCTGGGCAGAGTGGTGGGCGGCCAGGCGCTCGGCCGCCGCCCGCAGGCGGAGCAGGAGCTTGTCCTGGGCTCTCTGCTGCCGCTCACGGCGGTGTGCAGCGCCCTCTGGACCTCCTCCTCGGCGATGTGGTGGGCCGCAGCGCGGCCGCGAGCGCCGCGGCCTGCGGCAGGGGACAGAGAGGCACGGGTGGCCCCCTGCCGCAGAAGATGGCGCGCGGCGCGCGTGAGCCCGGCCTCGGGGGCTGGCCGATGCGCGATGCGCCCTGCCACCGCGATCGATCGGGCGGCAGGCGCCGACCGATCCGATGGATCGATCGGGATCGGCTGGCCCGCAAGAGGCCAAATGGTTTCCTCCTCCTCCTCCTCCTCCTCCTTCTCCTCTTCCTCCTCCTCCTCCTCCTCCTCCTCCTCCTCCTCCTCCTCCTCCTCCTCCTCTCCTTCGGGGGGGGGAGGGTGGGCCGTGCGTACAGGATGTGGACCCGTCGCTGGCCCAGTGCCCCAACCTGTGTTTCGGCGGCCAGTGCACCTTCCACGGTCAGGATACCCCTCCAGCGCGGATAAGGATGATGATGTTTCTGTTGATGATGATGACGACGATGATGAGCATGATGATGGTGATGTTGCTGATGATTATGAAGAGGAGGAGGCGTAGGGAGAGAAGGATGGGGAAGACGGAGGGCGGATGGCAGAGGATGAAGGGGGAGGTCGACTCTCGTTGGCTCGTCCCCGCTCCGTTCCGCCCGCTGGAAGTCCTGGGCGCTGGCTCGACCTCGCACGGAGGGGCCGCGACCCTCGGGCCCGCACTGCCCACGCCGCGTCGGAAGGAAGGAACACCTTTGAGCACCTTCGGCCAGGCCCGCGAGGCCATGCTACGCTAGAGCGTTAGAAAACAGGAACACGACAAACGAAACCGTCTAGCAAACGCACTCGAGGAAGGAATCGAACAGGGCAGGGCCGTTCTTTGTGTAGCCCAGGGACGTCTACTCAACGTCAATGATGGGGGTCGGGGTTGCTGTTCAAATCTCCTGCAATGATGCACCACGCCCCACGACCCGCGCGCACCCCAGGTTAGGCACCGGAACCACTGACCTGACACGAACCCGCGCCGATACAGGTTCATCACGTACACCCGACGGCCCCGTCCGTCTTCCTCACGTCTCCTCCTCCTCCTCCTCCTCCTCCTCCTCCACCTCCTCCCCTTCCTCCTCTTCCTCCACCTCCTCCTTCTCCTCCTCCTCCTCCTCCTTCTCCCCTTCCTCTTCCTCCACTTCCTCCTCCTCCTTCTCCTCCTCCTCCTCCTCCTCCTCCTCCTCCCCGTCCTCCTCCTCCTCCTCCTCCTCCTCCTCCTCCTCCTCCTCTCCTTCCTCCTCCGCCTCCTCTCCTCCTCCTCCTCCTCTCCTTCATCTCCCTCCGCCTCCTCCTCCTCCTCCTCCTCCTCCCCTCCTCCTCCTCCTCCCTCCTCCTCCTCCTCCTCCTCCTCCTCCTCCCGGTTCGCAGCCTGGCGCCCGCCTCCCCCCCCCCTTTGTCGGGCGGGGCCCGGGCGAGGCAGGCCCGGGCTCTGCCCCCCCAGAGGTCGGCCGCCCGAGCCGTCCTGGAGCCCCTGGCCGCTTTTGCAACCTTCCCGGGGGCTGTTCCTGAAACGCCTCCGTCTTTTTGAGACGTGTGTATCGAAAACCGTTTTGTGGTGTTGCGAGTCTTGGTTGCCAACGGTAGATAAAAAGAGAAGGCTCGCATCGGTGCAGAACGAGATGCTCCGCCGCATAGTGGGCATCCGTCGGACTCCCGACGAAGGTTGGGTTCAGTGGGTCACCCGGTCCACGCGAGCAGCTCGAGAGGCAGCAATGGGCGCTGGTGTCAAATTATGGGTTGAGTCAGCCATGCGCGCCAAATGGAGATGGGCAGGCCACGTTGCGCGATGGACCCCGCCTTGCTTTGCAAGAGAACCGTCGAGTGGCGTGATGGCGAATGGTGCGCCGTCATTGACGTGTTGGGAGGGAGGCCACGACGCCCGAGGCGCACGAGGTGGTTCCGCTGGGAGGACGACCTCCGGTCTTACGCACCCTTCTGGAAAGACATCGCTCAACATAGGGACGCGTGGAACGCTCGCGAGTCCACTTTCCTCCAATCTAACAACAGCTGCGCAGGGGTTGGTTCATAACAGCCAATGCTATGACAAGGCGAAGCGATTTCTGCAGATTATTATTGGATGCGTTCTGAGGGTATCTTCGTACATCTTCGTCCATCCATCGATCTATCCATGGTTGAAGCATGAATTGTGTTGTTGACATGTCGCCTGGCCCACGCTGCTGACACGTCAGAGCCTTTGTCCCGCACGCATTCGGCGTGTTCGCATGGCGCCGTGCCCGGAGCTAGTGCACAGCTTCTGTTTGGCAGCCTGCGGTATTGTGATTTTCCGCGCTACGGCGCCCATCCCCTCTCCCAGCGGGAGCGCTTCGCGTCAGGGGACCTGTAACAACCAGGCCGAGGCTCCAGGCCGACGCGAACGCGCCAGGAGTGCGAGGCCTCGCTTGCGCTCGGGGCTCGCGTCTCGCGGCCCGAGGTTTTAGCGCGCGGGTCGCAGGTGGGTCGCGCGGCGGGCCGCGGGGCGACGACGACGGCCGCGACGACGGCCGCGACGACGACGACGACGACGGCCACGGCCACCACCACGTCGACGACGACGGCCACGACGACGACGAAAGGGTCGCGAAGGGATCGCGAAAAGGGTCGCGTTTCGCTTTTGGGTCGTGCGGCGGGCCGCGGAGCGACGACGACGGCCACGACGACGACGACGACGACGACGACGACGACGACGACGACGACGACGACGGCGACGACGACGACGACGACGACGACGACGACGACGACGGCCACGACGACGACGACCACGACCGCGACCACGACCACGACGATGGTGGCGGCGGCGGCGACGACGACGACGACCATGACCACCCCCACCACGACGACGACGACGACGACGACGACTACTGCGACGACGACCACTACCACGACCGCGACCACGACCGTGACGACGGCGACGACCACGACCACGACCAAGACCACGACCACGACCACGACGGCCACGCCGACGACGAGGACGACCACCACCACCTTCACCACCACCACCACCACCACGACGGCGACGACGACGACGACGACGACGACGGCCACGACGACGACCACGACCGCGACCACGACCACGACGACGACGCCGACGACGGCGACGAAAACGACTTGGAGGGTCGCGAAAGGGGCGCGTTTCGCTTTTGGGTCGTGCGGCGGGCCGCGTGGCGACGACGACGGCCACGACGACGACGACGACGACGACGGCCACGACGACGACGACGACGACGACGACGACGACGGCCACGACGACGACGACCACGACCACGACCACGACTACGACGATTGTGGCGGTAGCGGCGACGACGACGACGGCCACGACGACGACCACGACGACGATCACCGCGACGACGACGACGACGACGACCGCGGCCGCGACCGCGACCACGACGACGACGACGAAAACGGCCTCGACGACGACGACGGCGACCACGACGACGACGACGACGACGACGACGGCGCGTCGACAACGTTGACGACGGCGACGACCCCGACCACGACCACAACCACGACGACAACGGCGGCGGTGGCGGTGACGACGACGACGACGCTTGGGGGATCGCGGAAAGGGTCGCCGGTCGCGGGTGGGTTGTACGGCGGGTCGCGGTGCGACGGCGACGGCCACGACCGCGACGACTACGACGATAACGACGACGACGACGATGACGGCCACGACCACGACCGCGATCACGACGGCCACGACGACGACGAAGACCACGACCACGACCACGGCCACGACGACGACGACGACGACGACGACGACGACGACGACGACGACGACGACGACGACGACGACGACTACGGCGACGACGACGACGACGATGACCACGCCCACGACCACGACAATGGTGGCGGTGGCGGCGACAACGACGAACACGGCCACGACCACGACCACGACCACGACGACGACCACGACGACGACGACCACCACCACCACCACGACGACGACGACGACGACGACGACGGCCACGATGACGACGACCACGACCACGACCACGACGACGCTGACGACGACGATGAAAACGACTTGGGGGGTCGCGAAAGGGTCGCACTTCCCTTTTGGGTCATGCGGCGGGCCGCGAGGCGACGACGACGGCCACGACGACGACGGCCACGACGACGACGACGACGACGACGACGGCCACGACGACGACGACCACGACAAAGACCACGACGATGACGATGGTGGCGATGGCGACGACGACGACGACCACGACGACGACCACCATGACCACCACCACCACCACGGCGACGACGACGACGACCGTGACCGTGACCGCGACTACGACGACGGCGGGTCGCGGTGCGACGGCGACGGCCACGACCGCGACGACTACGACGATAACGACGACGACGACGACGACGATGACGGCCACGACCACGACCGCGACCGCGACCACGACGACGACGAAGACCACGACCACGACCACGACCACGACGGCCACGACGACGACGACGACAAAAACGGCCACGACGACCACGACGGCGACCACGACGACGACGACGACGACGACGACGACGGCGGCAATGACAACCACGGCCGCGACCGCGACGACGGCGGCGACGACGATGACCACGACCCCGACCACGACAACGACAACGGCGGCGATGACGGCGACGACGACGACGACGCTTGGGGGGTGGCGGAAAGGGTCGCCGGTCGCGGGTGGGTTGTGCGGCGGGTCCCAGGGCGACGGCGACGGCCACGACGACGACGACCGCGACGACATCGACGACGACGACGACGACGACGACGACGACGACGGCGACGACTACGGCGACGACGACCACGACCACGACCGCGACCGCGACGACGACGATGACGACGAAGACCACGACCACGACCACGACCATGACGGCCACGACGACGACGACGCCGACTACGGCTACGGCGACGACCACGACCTCGACAGTGCCGACGACGACGACCACGACCACGACCACGACCACGACGGTCACGACGACGACCTCCACGACGACGACGACGTCGACGACGGCCACAACGACCACGACCACGACCACGACCACGACTTGGGGGGTCGCGAAAGGGTCGCGTTTCGCTTTTCGGTCGTGCGGCGGGCCGCGTGGCGACGACGACGGCCACGACGACGACGACGACGATGACGACGGCCACGACGACGACGACGACGACGGCCACGACGACGACGGCCACGACCACGACGATGTTGGCGGCGACGACGCCGACGACGAAGACGACGACGAAAACGACTTGGGGGTCGCGACAGGGTCGCGTTTCGTTTTTGGGTCGTGCGGCGGGCCGCGGGGCGACGACGACTGCCAGGACGACGACGACGGCCACGACGACGACGACGACGACGGCCACGACGACGGCCAGTACGATGACGACCACGACCAAGACCACGACCACGACGATGGTGGCGGCGGCGACGACGAC